TGTGACCACAGGCATGCACCACCATGCCCAGCTAACCCCTCTTCTTTGAAACCTACAGTTTATGCTGGCAAGTTCAAGGATCTTCAAAGTTCTGTAGTAAATAAGTATTGACCCAGAATTGCCCGAACATTAGATAGGGACTCATTTTTATATATGTGATTCTTATGGAGCTCATTGTTTTCGGACTGTGGCTCAAATATTGTTTTATCTGTGTTTGAAGAGTAGAGATCTTAGATTAGAAGGCAGTTCATAGAAATTATTATGGCCTTGAAACATCATTCTATATAGAACCAACTTCCTTAGAGACCCAAGGAAGCTACAGCACACTCAAGGATTCCTTGGACCCAGTCCCCTGCCTCCTGATAAGATTGCCAGGATGGCAGAGATGCACCTAGATGGTAGCATGTGCCCACTACCTCTTCCCTGTCACTTAATTATTCGAGCCAGTGCTATGCTAAGACATGAGAAGTGGGCAAGGTTCTCAGGAGACAGCCCAGCCAGGTGTCCAAGCCACTTCTGAAATGCAGGGACCAATCAAGGATGATACATTTTGTCTTGAGGAGAGACCTATGATTGAGATATCTCCATGAATGGGTTTCATAGACTTCCTAGCTTAGGGCACTAGTTAGCCCTAATGTTTTTCTCTCATGCACAGAGACTGAAAGGATACAACAAGGTCAATCTGGAAGAGGGTCTTCTGTTTACAGGGGAGAAGAACCCAAATGTAAGTGAAAGAAAACAGGCCATAAAAGGAGCACCCGAGGCAAGGCTTTATTGGGAAGGAGCTGCTGGGCTACCTCAAACAATGGCGAGAGAGGGGAAGACTAACTGAGGTGAAGTTTATATAGGGCAGTGCAGTGGGGAGAATATCATGAGAGTTGGGCAACGGGATGCTAGGTGATTGGAAGGGGAGGATCACGTAGGAAGCAGGGTGGAGCAACAAGTTAGGTTTTGCTTCTCCAGAGAGGCTAGATTTCACTTTTCTGAAATGGCTCCTTTCCATAATCGGGAACCATTTTAGGAATGGGAGCCATTTTAGTATGTAGGACTGTTGGGGCCCGTTTTTCTAGTAGAGAACTCTATCAGTATGCACCTCAGTGAACACACAGGGCATGCACCGTTGATTGTTTGCAGTGTGTGAGATTGTATACTGTTTTTCATAAACTCATTTCACTCTGACAAAAATACTGAAAGATAATATTCTCAGTTTTCCATTGAGGAAACTGAACTTCAGCGAAATTAAATAACTTACCCAGAGTCAGAAAGTTTGGAATTGCCAGAGCTGGTGTAGGGACCCAGATTGTGGCTGTCCCCAGAACCAGAGCTTCTCAGAGCCCACTACTCTCTCCCAAGTGCCCTTCACTCTCTTCCGAAGATGGTGTTTTCCATTCAAGTTCCACAGTGTGGTAGGAAAAAGGCAAGAATAGGATACATTTTAAAGAAAAAGGTGTGAGTTTTGTATTGATGCCCATGAATCCAAGGCCCTTTTGAACAAGTACCTTTCCAATTATTGCATGACAGAAACCTTTATCCAGTAGTTCTTTCCTCACTAACCTTAGAGCTTGTTGAGGCTATAAAATGGGCCATTTTCTTAATAGAGTTAGGAGGTTCAAAGATGTGAATTCTTATGGAGTAATTGGGGATAATTGAAAACAAATACCACTGCAGTTGCCCTCTCTAACTGATTTTTGTTTTTCCAAAGATGTGGTACTACTTTCTTGACCAGCAAAGTCCATTATGTGTATATGTGTAAGTGACGTCACAACCAAATACCATATTATAAATCTGATTTCATTCCCTAAAAATGATCTTAGATGTTTAAGTCTTTGAGGATATGGACGTTACATTACTGAAAAAATGAAAACTCACTAGATGAGAAGTATGAAGTTGGCCCATAGCATGGATGCCATGACCAGACTACTGCATGCAGGGAGACTGCCCCACTGTGTGCAGGGAGATGAGCCCACTTTGAGCATCCTGCACCTGGACAGCACCAGAGCCACTGCACACACAGCATCTCTTTTGTGACCCGATTTCAGATGAATTTCTCTGGACAGCTTTCAAAATCAGAGTTGAAATAAATATTTGGAGATAAAGATATAGGCACAACTTTCTTTACATACTTGGCATCAAAGCATTATGGACAGATTACAGAAATTTTTTAAAACATAAAACTTTTTTTTAATAGAGTCTCACTGTATTGCCCAGGTTTGGCCTTTATCTCCTGGCCTTAAGCAGTCTTCCTCCCTCAGCCTTCCAAGTAGCTGGAACTATAGGCATGCACCACCATGCCTGGCTTGATAACCATTTAAGGATTACCACTGAAGGATATTAAGATTACAGTTTAAGGATATTTATAGAGGAAGTTGTTAAATCTCCACTAAAATATGTATTGGAGATCTTCCTAATCACTATCCCAACATTTATTATGATTCCACTTGTAAGATAGGATAGTCCTTGACCTCTTTCCAGAATGTATTACTAGTAATCCTTGGCCAGCATAGTTGTCATACTTTGAGATTCAGAATGACCATGAGCATGCCCACTGCTACACTGGGTAGCATTTGCTCTGGGGCCACACACTGTTCCAAGCATTTTATATAAGTTAGCTCTTTACCTTTCTTTACTTCCTTAAGGAATAAGAGATATGAAAAATAAATATTCTGAGTTTTCATAAAAAATTATAGGTCCTAAGTAAATAGGTGTTTCTCAACCCTCTGAATCCATGACTTATGTATCCATGTATCAGGAAAAAAAATGGTTTCTATACTGAATATGTAAAGAATTTGTTTTCTTGTCATTATAACCTTAAAAATATAGTATAACAACTATTTATATTGTATTGGGTATTATAAATAACCAAGAGATGACTTGAAGTAGGTTCTATACAGATACGATATGATTTTTACACATGACTTGGGCATCCATGGATATTGGTATCCAAGGGAGGTAGTAGAACTAATTCCCTATAGATACCAAGGGATGAATTTACTTTTATACATATTACAAGAGGACAATTTTGGTTTTGGTAGGATTTGCATTGCATTATTTCCCAGTTATGCGTTTCCTCTTATTTTGAGATAATTTTTCTCATAAATAATGTATTGTAGATGTCTTTACAGGAAAAAGAAAAACCACACGGCCAGAAGCAGGCTAGTGTTGTTCCTTTTCAGTCTTGGAAAGTCTTGTACTGTGAGGAGATATTGAATAGTCAGTTGTGAAGAAGGCAAACTACTTATTTCTCAGCGACAGTCTTGAGTCACTACAGAGTTCCAGGGCTAGAGGGTGTGGACCATGGAGTTATTCTATCTGTCATCTACCCCCAGATTAAATACAGAATGACTGAATAAACCGTCAAACTAGGTTTACTATTTTTTAAAATGCTCCATTTCTAAAAAGGATATTACCAGAATATAGCCCCCAAATTGTTAATTATTCATTTGTCCATTTAACAAAATGATCTATGCTAAATCTCATGGGCCCAAGGTCCAGTGAAGTAGGAAAGCCCTCATTTTTTAAGGTCATATTTTGGCTTTCATTTCTTATCTGGGTCTTGGTGTGGTCACCTTCTGTTTAGTTTTAGAGATATTCCCTGGGGGGGCCGACCCAGCTTCCCACTTGGTTTTGAGTGGTAGGATTGGCTTCTCCTTAAGGGGCAAGCTGGTTCCATCCTGTGCTATCTCTAGGAGAAGAGATTGGCTCTAGACCCAGTAAGCAAAAAATAAAGTCACTACCAAACCACGCCATGATCCCTGGTTCCTGTACCCCACATTACTGGTATTTCTCTCTTTCTTTCTCTGAAGTCAAATTTCCAGAATTTGGAGAGAAAAATGTTCCTAGGGCTTCATTTCAGCCTTTTATAACCCCTGCAATTTCCATTTGAACAGCTAGCTCCAAACACAAAATTTTTTTCCTACATCAGAGAATATTGTGATCGTGGAGATTTGGAAACAAAGGGGAAAAGGTAATATAAACAATTAGTTCTGGTTATTTCCCCCTATTGTCTTGTTTTGAGTTTTCTGAGACAGGGTCTTGCTATGTAAGTCAGGCTAACTTTTTTTTTTCTTAAATTCTTTTATTGGTACATTTTAGGTATACAATACGTTTACATTTATCATTGGGTACTTGTACCTGTACATGATGTATCTTTGTTCTTATTTTTTTTTTTTGTACCCGGGATCGAACTTGGGACCTTGCGCTTGCGAGGCAGGTGCTGGAACCACTGAGCTAAATCCCCAGCCCCTTGGTTCTTAGTTTTTCCCCATTCCTTGTGTTCCCTTCACCTCTTCCACCCTTCCCTATTTACAAAGACTTTGTTTCTTATAATTTTTCCTTTCCCTTCTTTCCTTTAGGTCAGGCTAGCTTTGAACTCACTGTGTAGCCTAGGTTGGACTGGAACTCATGATCTTCATGCCTCAGTCTCCCAAGTGCTGGCACTACAGGCATGTGCCACCACACCTGGCCCCCTGTGTTTTAATGCCTCACTGTTGCATGGCACTGGCTTTAAAACAATATAAATAAAAGTAAAACCAAAATTTTGGAACTGAGCAAGTTGTGCCTTTGTGATGCTGAAAGAAAAAAGAAGCAGTGTCAATCCCCTCCATGTGGATTTTAGTCAAAAATCCTTACAATTTCAAAGAACAGGAGGCCCTTCTTGCTGGTTCAAAGGCAGTTGGCAGGCAGGCAGTGTCCAGGACAGTGTGGCTCTGAGGTATTGTGCTGCACACAGGAGGTGCTGCTTTATGCTTCCTCTTTTCCAGAAGCTTCTTTCTTGACTACTGTTAAGTGCCATGCCCTCATGACCCTAGTTTACCAAGGCCCGAGGTTGCTGCCAGCACACCCTGTGTCACTGCCTTTTGGTTCTGCTGACCCTGTGCAAACATGGCCCCTGCCCCCCAGGCCATTTGTGGGTCAGTTTCCCTCAGAAGGAGCTGTGAGAAAGTGGTCAATCTGCCCTGACACCTCAGTACTTCATTTCCTTTTCCCTTCTCTGTCTCCAGAAAGAGTTTTTTGAAGAAGTCGGCCAGAATGGCAGCCAGGCCCAGATCTCTGTTAAAGTCTACAACGCCACTTACTCAGTGAGGATTGCAGCCATCACTAAAGGGGGAGTTGGGCCTTTCAGTGACCCGGTGAAGATATTCATCCCAGCACAGGGTGAGAGCAGGGCCCTTACTGGCGGGTAGAATGTGGCAGGCACTGCAGACTGCCAAAGGGTAGTGTGATGCAGCAGCGGATTCAAGAATGAAAAGTAAGGACCCAAAGGAATTTTTGCTGTAATAAAGACTTGCTATAACACACTTCCAATTCACAGAATCCCCACACCCATGGGTCCTGCTACCATTACTATTAAGGGTAATACCGTACTAAGATCAGTCCTTTCAGAATGCTGAGTCTGACTTGTTTCATGTAATTTAAATGAGAGATACGTGACAGAATTTCAGACAGGCAGTATGGCTAATCCTTAGCTCTTTGTCACTGGCACTGCTTATTTTCCAGTGTTTGTTCTGCTGTGTTTTAGGCCGTGGTGCTTGCCTTGTTTTTACCCATTCAGCCCTCGGGTAATGCACTTTATGACTTGGTCTGCCCAGAACATCAAGTGTTTCCAACAGAAGCCCTAGGCTGATTGAGCTAAATGCCCAGCCATGCGTGCTTTCTTGTGTTCCTGGAACCTTTTGGCAAGGTGCCACCATGGTGCCCTAGGTGGCCCAAGTGCTGTGCTTGCTTTCCTAGACCAATGGAGCCACCTTTCTTCTGGCTCAGATTAGCCCTGGTTTGTTTGATGTTAAACCACTGTCATAAAATCCACACATAGACATCTTTATCAGTGTGACCCATATGTTTACAAATTCTTGTCAAACAGTCTTTGTACCTGGCTGTAGGAGATTGCGTACGCGGTTGAGTTCCTGTCTGTATGTTCTCAGTGACCCTCAGGCTGCTCTCCCTCTCAGTGCCCAGTTGGAATTGAGTTATGTCCCTGCAGTTGCACAGTTACAAAGTAAGCACAGTTACTGGTGATGGGGAGACAAGCTGTGGCAGCCTAGTAGAAGTTCAAAGTCAATGAGATTCTGATTCTAAACAAACAGCTTTAAAAATATCAGGGCTTAAGAGTGCAGAACTTTCATCTTCAAGCATAATAAATTCTCTAAAATTTATAAAAGCTTTGCTATACAGGCAGTCTTTGTTTTGCACAGCTTCAGTATGCACAAATATAAGTTACCACGGTTTCCCTGCTGTGGTTCAAATTTTAGTTAAATTTTGGCTTTTAGTCTGAGAGTTAGCAGATGAACACAGTTGTGCATGATTTCAAAATCTGTCACTGATTACTGCCCCACACCAGTCATTCTGACCATACACATCCTGCAAAGGCCCATGGCTGTATTGTCTCCCTGTGTCCAAGTGACGAACCTACCGGACTTTTACAAAACTGGAGCATTGAAAGAGTGAGTTGGTGAACAAAGTGCAAGAAAGAAATGAAAAGTGGTGGTGTTAGGGGTGAAATTTGACCCGAGTGTAAGTGGATTGTAGGGTGGTGATACTGCTAGCACTGAGTAGACTCATTGTGCAGCTGAACAACTTAGGGAAGGTCAGCTTATCAGCATAAATACAGTGATTGTGACAAGAAGGTTGAAAGTGCCCTAGAGAAAGCGACACCAGTAAAAAACCTCAATGGTTTGGGTGGGGGTGTGGCTCAGTGGTAGAGCCTTGTCTGCCTTGTGCAAGGCCCTGGGTTCCATCCGCAGCACCACAGAAGAAAAGAAAAGAAGGGAGGAGAGAGAAGAGAAAAATAAGAGAAGAAACACTTTATAGGAATTCTCAGAAATCCTTTACAACTTTGAAAGTACAAAATATAAAACATTGGAAGTTGATCTAAACTTGAAAAGGAGTCTGATAATTCTCCGAAACGCAGAAAATATATTTTCTGCGCCTTAAGTTAAATTAATAGAGAAGACACACTGTTCAGACTACTGATAGATTTTTTTACCAAGAAAATTTATTCCTAATGTTTCTAATGTTTTAAATTACAGGGCACCAAGCACATATTTCTTTTACTAGTCATTTTGGTCCTGTACATTTAAAACCAACATGAAGAATTTCCCGCTGGTTATTTTATTATTTTTAAAAATTGTATGTATTTATGGATATAGTGTGATGTTTTGACATACATATGCTTTGTGGAATGATTGAATCAATCTAGTTTTATTGATTATTAAGAATGTTCTGAGCTGGGTATGGTGGTACATGCCTGTAATCCCAGCATTTTGGGAGGCTGAGGCATGAGGATCACATGAGTCCCACCTGGGCAGTTTAGTGAGACCCTGTCTCAAAATAAAAAAATTTAAAAAAATAATAATAATTTAAAAATCACTGGGGATGCAGCTCAGTGCAAAGGCCCTGGGTTCAATCCCCATCACCCCCCCACACACACACACACATAATAGAGGACTGTCTGCATTTGTAGATCACAGAAGATGAAAGGATTAACCTAGTTCTAAAAGCTTTTCACTGTTTGCCCTTTCCTATGAAAGCCAATGCTACGTGTGCATTTCCAATCCCGAAGAACTGCCTGCACTGACTGTGCCATGTGTTCCAGGTATGGACTCCGCCCCATCCTCCACTCCAGCGCCGGGCAGCACAGATCCCGTGCTCGTCATCCTCGGCTGCCTGTGCGGATTTATTCTGATTGGCCTAATTTTATACATTTCCCTGGCCATCAGAAAAAGAGCACAGGAGACAAAATTCGGGTAAGTTTCCCCGTGAAAGATGTTGGCACAGATGAGGTTATTATGAGTGACAGAGCCTCTCAGGTTGGCCTGCTGCTTACCTTGCACCCAGAGGGAACCTGGCTTGTGTGCGCCTCAGCCAGGCAGCTACCAAATGCTGGCCACTTCTGGCACTAGCTGGGACTGGAAAAGGGTGCCTCCACGGAGAAGAGCACCAGTGGCCTCTGCTACTCAAATGGGCTCAGATGAAGACTTTTATTAGAGGCCTTAAAAAAGACCCCCAGAAAGCACAGGCCTATAATCCCAGAACTCGTGAGGCTGAGGCAGGAGGATCTCAAGTTTGAGCTGTTTTTTTTTTAACATTGCTTCCTTTCTCCAGATCTGAAATTCAATCTTCAACCTACACTCAATTCCTCCCTGTAAATGGACACCTGGTGCTGTCCATGGACTGAGTTCTCTCTGCACCAATGCCAAACATGTTTTTATGTCTAGAAGAACCAGAGACCAATCGAATATGGCTGTAATAACAGCACTTGGGAGGCTGAGGCAGGAGTTTAGCTGTGAGTTTGAGACCCTGTCTCAAAAAAAGAAAAAAAAAATTCCGTGTAATTACCATCAAAATTGCGTTGCTGATAAAATGTGGCAAGCTGATTTGGGAATTCATCTGGAACACTAAATATGCACAGAAGTCCAGATGGAGGGAATTGGTCTCTGGTCTGGAGAAAGGAAGAAATGTTTAAAAAAAAACAAAAACAGCCTGGTCTAGGCACTGGAGAGAGAGAAATGAGCAAGTCAGACTAGGGGCTGCCCACATGTAGCTTATTGTAGACTTGCAATTGAGAAATATAGAAGAAAATGCTTCATTTGAATATATTTCTATCATTGAAGCCTCCACAGACTCAAATTTAACCCTAAAATAGATTTCAGATATTAGCTAATTGACCCTTAGTTGTAATATTCTGGGAAAGGTTGGGATGAAAATTATAGAATTTAAGTATGCTGATAACTCTAATATGTGCCTTGTTACTTTTATAGTACATAGCTTGGGAATCAGTGAGATACTCCAAAATAAACTAGGAAATGTTGTGATTGACAGTAATCTTCTAATTCTTGGAAAAATTCTGGGGGAAGGTAAGCAGCCTCTGTATCCCTATTTTTATAGGGTAAATGTCTTTCTTTCATCCTCCCAGGACTGCATTCACAGAGGAGGATTCTGAATTAGTTGTAAATTATACAGCAAAGAAGTCCTACTGTCGGCGAGCCATTGAACTTACTTGTAAGTTGACTTTCATTTTACTTTTTGGTCAAAGTTAAAATAGTGGAAAGCCAAGAAAGACTAAACAACAGACAGGTTTCTAACACAGGTCAAGAGTTTGAGTGGATCCTTTTATCTGAGTGTGGTGGTGCACACCCACAATCCCAGCACTCTGGGAGGCTGAGGCAGGAGGATCACAGGTTTAATTAACCCAGCCCTGGCAATCAGTGTAGCAATTTAGACCCTATCTCAAAATAAAATGAAATTTCACTGGAGCAAAGCTCAGTGGAAAGGCCCTGGGTTCAATCCCCAGTACCACCACACACACACACACACACACACACACACACACACAAAGAATGGATCCTTTTAATGTACAAAATGTTGTCAGAAACTAGCAGGTAGGTAGACACTGTCACACACATCTCTGCTGGCTGGGTTAGTTACTGGAAATCTGGAATTGAATCTAGAGTTAAGATGCCAGGTTTCAGGATTCATAATGCCATAAAATGCGGAAATAAAGAGGAACCTTCTAGCAGATGGAGTAAAGGTCAGAGATTTAAAGGAAATAGCAAAGCAATGGACATAATCTCAAACCTCATTTCCTGACCTCCCAGATACCAACTCAGAGGACAATTTGCCAACATGCTTTGTAGCAATTATGGTTTGAACTTTGCTGAATCAGAGAATGGGGTCTTCTGGTCAAAAGAGAATAAACAGATAACAGTGTTCTTGAGTATCTTCAGAAACAGTGTCGAAAGTATATATAAATGCTATGGAATTTGTGCTCCTGGATGTTTGCCCAAACAAAACAAAAAGGACTTAAGAATGTTGGACAATAGTCTGCTATGAAATCAATACTCACTTGATACAGAATATTAATTTCTTTACTTTTCTAATCTATATGTTTTGATGGTTAGCTGTCTCTATTCTTGCATTTTAAAAAATTCTTAATTTAGATAATTTCTTCCTTTATCTAAGGACCATTTGGGTAATTTTTTTC